AATTATATACACTACATCACGTTTGAACATTGGGAGCCGGAAAAGACTTTCCATTAAAAAAAATTAGTCTCCCGCGTAGTCAACATTCCATACGAAATGAGATCGTCAACTCTGAACATTGTGAAAGAATAGGAAAGGATAAAAAAATCTTCCTTTTAACATTTTGTTTTTCGTTACGTTAGGCCTACAAATCTGTATTCTTTATTCTGTTTGGAAGCTTTGTTGTTTGTATTAATTTACCAAAATTTATATCTATATTCCTCAAATATTTGAAGGAGGCGGTTTTGGGTGTGTGCGGGAGGTGGTGCAATTTGTATTTTACTTTACTATGTTTCACGTTTTCAGAACTTGAAATCCCACTGTTTTTCTCCCTACTGAATTTGTTGTGTTGGTTTTATCCCCTCTCTAGTGAAGTCCGGCCGTCTCTCATCGTCCTTGATCAGCTTTGAGAAAGCCTACGAGCTCGCCAACCTCCTGAGTGAGTATTTTTACGGGGTGCTCTCCTGGCCTAGAGGTTAAGATGTTTGCCTCTCTTTCAAAGGTCCCGGGTTCGAATTTGTGTGACGACCGAAACATTTTTTTCTCTAAAATTGTCTCCTTTCACCCCCATTCAGCTTGGTGTTCCGCCGGGAAGCACTTGTAGTTCCAACGTGCCATCGGCACTTATATGACCTTATGTGTTGCAAGTGCCGTAAAACTCTTACTAAAACTAAAAAAACAACAACATGCCATCAATGACCTAAATAGACTTAACTGATGCTAGAATGCTCGTCGTCTTTCTATTTGACCCATAGATATGAACTGCAATAATATCCTAGATTGGGCCCTGTCATGTCCACTACTCTTTGCTCTCTATGAAAACTTCGCCGCCGTGGTGCGTATCACGGACGCGCAGATGGGCAAGACACCAGTCTGGCAATAGTCAAGTGCACGGGCAACCTCTCCCTCTTGTCCCTTTATTCGGATCCTAGTATAGTCAAATGGTACATTCCATGGTGACCTTTAACATCCATGGAAGAAAATCTGACGGACTACGACTCTGTCAAATGAATCTGATCGGCTGTGTGCACTGCATATTAGGCTTTTAAATCCACAAAAGAACATAAGCTCCATTCTCTTGTGGTAAGCCTACGGTATGACATCGGATGTCTCCGTCTCTTTGCCAGGGTTCACAGGATGAATCAAAATTATGTTAACACTACGCTACCCCAAAATTACAAAGTTCTATCTACTCAGTACCTAGTTTTGAGAAATTTGACGTTAAACACTTTTAGTTTCACAACATGTCAAGCTTTTTCAAATGAAATTCTTTAAATGTCTTGATAACGACTCTTTACATAACTTACTTAGTAGTCTCAGCCAGGTCAAATGACCAATACACAAAAACTAGCGATCAAAAGTACAGTGTAATGCCTTAACACACATACTGCACGGGGAATACTTGATACGACACCTTGTGCTCTGTCCTTGAGTTCATCGATGTCTCTAAGCATAGCCTACTTATGTTAACATAATTTTGACTCACCCTGTAGTGTACGATCCTGACTGGGGTAGAACTCACAAACATGGCGGAGCAGCCCACCCGCATAATGATCTAAACTGTGTCTGTGTGTGTGTGTGTGGTTGGGGGG